AAAAAAAAAAAAAAAAAGAAAACCTCAGAGTGGATTTTGTGGGTGCTTCACACAAAAAAAGTATGTGAGGTAATGTCCATGTTAATTAGATCCAAGTAGCTACTCCACAATAGATATACATTTCAAAACAACATGCTGTACAGGATAAATACAGACAATTTTTATGTTGTTTTTTAAACATGTAAGAATTTTTTAAGTTTCATAAACAAAAAAAAAGAAGGGAGTAGAATTCTTTTTTTTTCTTTTTGCAGTTTTGGCCGGGGCTGGGCTTGATCTCCGCCACCCCCAGTATATAGGGCCAGCGCCCTACTCCTTGAGCCACAGGCGCCACCTGGGAGTAGAATTCTTTAGGATAGTTCCAGAGAGTTTAAAAGGAGCAAAGACAATAATGACTAAAAGAGCTAGATTACTGAGCTCCAAAATTCTACTTTCTAACCCTAGCCTCCTGCTGAGACCTGGGGGGAGGAGAAGAGAGAATGATAAATTCAATTGAAAGATTCCATGTAAATTTCTTACTGGTCATCAATGTTCATCATCTGATATCAAAGCATACCCAACCAAGTTAGATAAAACTCGGTATCAATTAATTCCTCATAATAAGGATAAAGCGTCTTTGGTGAGGTCATAAATTCAGAAGATCATGAATGAACACATACAAACAAATTTATCAAAGTAAACTGATTTAAAACAAAAATAATCACTTACTAAAATTACAAAATGATGCATTACTTAGTGGAAAGTCTAGCTTTGGGGAAGTTCTGGAGTAATTAGTTGAGTTGTCTTAGATCCTTGAATAAACAGGATTGCTCCTTTTAGCATGCACCTTATCTGAGGTAGCACTGTTACAAAGTTACAGAGTGAAGTCTGCCTCTGATTCTATTTTACACCAGCACGGTCACTATTTAATCTCAAGAAAAACAGCAATACTATTGCTATGTCTTCTATTGTTGTTATTCTATCATGTATTTTAATAACAATGTATTCTAATAACAATGTTTTTCAGTAATGATGTATTTTAATCCCTGGGGATATTTTCTATAATAATTATGACTTATCCGTATCCACAAAATAAGAATGTATTTTCTATTCCTTTTCCCACCAACAACCAGAATAAGTACAACCTGCCCCTAACTGCTTCCCCTCCCCTCAAAAAACATCTATGGCTTGATTTTTTTCCATCTGAGTGTCCACCAGAGGGAGCCCGATGACAGTGTATTAGTCTAGCCGTTACCTGAATGTGTTTTATAAGCCCAAACATTTCTGAAAACCAACTGAGACCACTCCTACTATTCATTTAACAAGGATAACAATTCCTATTTAGATTCGGTAGCGTAAAAATAAAGGTGCAAATGCAGTAAACAAGAAGGAAGTGTAGAACGCAGAGTATCCTAAAGTCTGAGTCTGAGAACCACCAGTTTCTCTTACTGCGTCTATCTTATTGTACATCGAGTCCATCCTTAACTCTAAGTTTATCCAAAGCAAATAAAGACTGTTTAGTCAATGTGATGTTTTTAGGACAATGTGTATTCTATAAAAGATGAGTGTATCCAGAGCTGGAACAGACAAAGTATACAAACAAATGCCAAATTTTAAAGTCCTCTCTGTGGACACTCTGACCTGCCATTAAAAACACCCATTCGAAAACAGTTACAAAAGAAAACATCAGTGACACTAAGAAGGTTCTTTTCCCTGCAATGCAGTAATTTCTAAATTGTTACCTCAAAATAATATGAAATTCTGTGGTATTGGTAACTCCCAGAAAGGGAAGAAACCAGTAAGAAGGTGTGTATGTTCATAAGCCAACCATCAACTATACTAAACCCATATCATGAAATGTTTGTTCTTTACCTATGTCTATTCCTTGGTGGGTAAGAAAAGTGGCATTTGTAAAGAAATACAAATAATTCTGCAAAATATAAATGGAGAGCTGCTACGTGAGACACAGGTGGGCCCAGACACCTGTACACCAGCTTAAGGACCGTGATTGTGTCCCAGGAGCTGTGGAGGATCATTCAGAAAGTCCAGGAAGGGAGACGACATGGTTGAGGCTGCAGACTGGGGAAGGTGGATGGGGGTACAGGCCAGGAGCCAGGAATCCAACTCAGATTTCTCAGTCGTCCCAGTGGAAAGTGCAGAGTCTGAACTCAGCAGCAGTAGAGAGAGGTAAGAAGAAGAAATGGGAAAAGTCTTCAGGAATAGCAGTTGGTGTTCCCCGAAGGCAGAGGAAGAACCACCCAGGACCACCTGGGCCAGTCATTGAAGCAGGATGTGGCCAGCCTCTAGAAAGCCTCTAGAAGCCCCGAGCAGAGAGCCCTCATTCCCTGTGTCCCTGCACACGGTGGCTGTGCATACCCTGAACCCAGCAAGCTGCTCGCTCCACCAGAAAGCATCCTCTGACTGTCCTCAGCCCCGGTCTGTGTCCCCTTTACGTCCTCAGAGGGCCCTGGATGTAACTCTGTCCTAGTACCTATCCACCTTATTTAAAATAAAAATCTATTGGCTTTTGTCACTATTTCAAAGGGACCCATGTTTTACTTTGTCAAACTGAAAGATATCAATACACAAAAGATGCCTCCTCCCCACCGCTCCCACTTTCTGCCTCAAGGGAACCACAGCTAAGAATTCTCTGACTCTCACAGAATTTTTCTTTTTTCTTTCGCTTGATCATTATTAAAGTGATGTGTTCCTGTAAAGATTTTTCTACAGCATGCTTTTATCACTAACCATAAATCGCAGTCAGGTCAATACGTATAGATTTACTTCATTTTAACGCTGTATAAAATTCTAGTGTATGTAAGTAACATAACGAGTTAGCCATTCTCTTGAAAATGAGCGTTTTCAGCATTACGCTCCTCGGCCGGCAAATATCATTCTTGCTGAATATCTTTTCAATTGTGTGCCGGTATTACTACATAAAAGGTTCTTAAATGAGACGACTAGGACAAAAGGCGTGACCACTGCTCTTCAAATTATTTGCATGAATTTGGACACCTCTGAAAAGTGTACGAGAACTTAACAAGACTGTCTAGTGATCTATCTTTCCAACCTGAGAATGGAAAATACTTCATGGGCAGGGGGAATTGAACTGCTTCTTTACAATTTTACGTCCTTCACCAAGTTCACAGCCAGGCTCATAAAGAACCACTCAACACAAAAATATCTGTCACTCAAACACATAATTGAGTAATCCTTACCTTGCCAAAGTGTTATGAGGATTAGGGATAATACATGTTGAGATATGT